ACCCTCAGTGTGTGTTATTCAGGATTTAGCCCTTTTTTACCTGTTTGTATTCTGTGTATCTGAAAAAATGTGTCTCTGCACACTTTACAGGGTTTTACTATTAGTCAGTTTTTCCAAATGAAACAAACATAAAGACAAACAAACCGAGTAAAAAAAGAAACCACAAAGCTGTCAATTGAGTTGTTTTTAAGAATAGTAAAAAATGAAAGCCAGTCTTTTTTTCTGTAGGTTCAAATGCTGCTTGGCAATAACACTTTTTTTTGCTCCACATTGCGTGACTTGTGGGAGAAGACACAGTGACTAACTCCATGCAGATAAACGCAGAAAATAGAAACTTCAAAGCAGATATAAACTGTTTTGGGGTCAGGGTGAGCTGGTCGAGTTTTATGATCTGAAATTGCATAATTGCACAGTTTGAAGAGAGAAAAATTGACTTCTATCATTGAGACCGTACTTTCTTTAGCTTCAGGAATATGAAAGAAAGCATCCCAAAGGCAAAAGCAAATAAGCTTTGGACTGCAGGATCGGTCACTAGGGTTCAATAAAACTGTTTTTGCCAGATCTAGGATAAATCTGAGCTTTCAACATGCAGCTCATTTTTCTTCAGCCTGGGGATTTATTTTGGTAGAGTACAATTTATCTTTGATCAAATCTGAATTTCTGGCTTCAGCTGTAGGGTGCAGATTGGCCTTGACTACAGCACTGGACACATGGGGCTTTCGGTTCATGTGGCCTAGAACCACACAGTCTGTTTGCTATAAGTAGTCTTAGGATAAATACGATAGGCCGGGCATGTGTTTAGCTCCGTCCTCCTGAGTAATTTCCCTTATATCCGCCAACCAAAGCACCGTGCCTCCTATTATTTTCTCTGAGGGTTTGATGACGTTTGGAATCATGCTGTCGAAATCTGGGTTCATGCAGCAAAGCTTTTGGCATCACAGCTGCACCACAACACAGCTGAGGGGGTGGACGTAGGTTGTGGATCTATGTGTTCCAACATAGAGTTGGCTGGGTACAGGAGGTTGTACGGGGGTTAATTTAGAAATTGTTTTACAAAGTCGTTTTTGGTATGGTATACATGTAACATGCAAAATGTACCAGTCATTATTACAATACCAACACCACTTATAAGTAGACTGAAGTTAAAGTCTAAGCAACTCTGAAATAGTTATTCTGCAGATGCATTGGAGAAAAAGAAAGAGAAACTTTGACTGTTCATTTAAATCAAGCTGTTATCTTAAAAAAAAGTGTGAGATATACCAGCACAATATGTATGTACAATATTACTCCAAAAAACACAACACAAAAACTGGGAAGGTAAAAATGATAGTATCAGTAACACCAGCAACTTGCGCCCTTCTTTTAAGTGACATGTGCGTGTATAAACAATAAATCCCTCCTCCCAAACAGTGCAGACTGCTGCTGATCCTGCAGACATAAAGGCGTTTGTGACACATCTCAGATAGAAGCAGCTATATTTCTTTCTCCTTGGCATCTTTAAATCACAGTTTGACAGTTGTATGACATCTTGTATCATTTCTTGTTTTGTTAGTATACAGTATAAAACAATGTCAAAAACGGTTTACTATAAAGACCACTATGTAGGTCATACAGTTAGTAAATGAAACATATCAGTCAGAGAAAAGCACAAGCCTGTTTATACCCACCACAGGAGTTGGTAGTGACCAAAGTACAGGAGTTTTGGGTATTCCCCTTGTTCTGTGTTGTTAATCACTAAGCAGTTTCATATTGTGGCACAAACTCTGAAGACTGACAACAACAAAGGGCTGTAAAACAGAAAACACCTCCCAGTAATAAAGAGTGATAAAGACATAGAGAGGGACAGAAATGACTAATGGCATAGACACTTTGTCTCCTAAACTCCGACTGTGGCAGTGTTTAAGTGTGTGTGTTTTGCAGTACACTGTTATCACACACAGACCATACCTTATTAATGCTGACAGACTAGACATTATCTAATCCATTTTTGTTCAGCAGTTTTACCTCTAAACAATTCATTCTCTTTGCTGTTCAATTTCTTGTCTGAAAGTCAAGAAAACAGCTATTTAATCACAAAACTATAATCAACCCATGTCTTTTCGTTTCTTGTTGTAGCGGCCTAATTGCTAGGCAGCTTAGAATATATAGGTGGAAACACTTTTATTATTGTAATTTCTCAGCCAAAGGTTCTTAAAAATCAGAGGAGGAAACTAGCTGATCTTCACTCTATAGGGAGGCAATGTATATACACTCTGAATACTTAGGAACACCTGTGCACCTGCTTATTTATGTATTATCCAATCAGCCGATCATGTAACAGCAGTGCAATGTTCACATCAAACATAAAATGTGTAAAAAAAAAAATGACTGTGGCATGATTGTTGGTGCCAGATGGGCTGGTTTGACTATTTCTGAAACTGCTGATCTCATGGGATTTTCATGCACAATAAGTCTCCAGAGTGTTTACTCAGAATGGCGTGAAGAACAAAAAAACATTGTGTGAGTGGCAGTTCGGTGGACGGAAACACCTTGTAGATGAGAGAGAAACTGTGTCAACAGTCCAGGCTGCTGATGGTGATGTACTGGATGGGCCCCTTAATACCAATCGATCATCACTTGAATGCCACCGCCTGTTTGAGTATTGTTGCTAACCACGTGTATCCCTTTACAATTTACCATCTTCTAATGTTTAATTAAAGCGTGATAATGCACAAGATCACAGAGAAAAAGTCATGTCAAACTGGTTTAATGAACATGGCTATGAATTCAGTGGCCTCCCAAGTCACCAGATCTGAATCCAATTGAACACCTTTGGGGTGTGGTAGAGCGGGAAATTCACACGTGAATGTGCAGCAAATTTGACAAAATCTCAAAGGAATGTTTCCAAAATCTCATAGAGTCCATTCCATGAAGAACTGAGGCTGTTTTGAGAGCACAGGGAGGCCCTACCCAGTGTTAGTGTGGTGCTCCTAAAAAAGTTCTTGGTGAGTGCATGTTGTCAGTTTGTTCTTTAGTCTATAAAATGTCCAAATAAAATGGAAAAATGCTCATTATAATCAGTCCAAAATCCAAAGGAATTTAATTTACTATCATATATGAAAAAGGACAAAATCGTCACATTTGAGAAGCTGAAATGTGCAAATGTTTGGCATTTTTGCTTGAATGACTGAAACCATTCATGGATCATTTAAATAGCTGCCAAGACTCTGGGTTGCCCTATTTGGCTTCAGGGTAAACTTCAAGCAGAAACACTACTGGTTTGATAAACCTGTAATAACTACAACCAACGGCCTGCTTTTGTTATTGGGTGAATTATGTCACTAAATCTAGAAGGTGTGCTTGGAAAATCACTCGCATGTTGAGTCATAATATTGAACTTGGTATGCAAGTTTTTTCCAAGGCCACCTCCACAGCGTCACACCAGAAACAAAAAACAAACATTACACAGTGTAATGATTAGTACAACTACCTTTGAACATAAGCATCTTGGTTCAGTATTGTGTGTGTGTGCTCTGCATTGATCCCCTACCTGCTCTGGGGCTCCTGGTTGGAAGCCGTAACTGACCCCTGACCTCTTAGACAAATGTTATGTCCTTAAAGGACATTTAGAGCCGGCTTTCTATTCCTGCTAAAGTCAATCTCTGCAAATGTATGCACCACCCTCTACTCAATAAGCCATTGTGAATATCACTGCTCATAATGCTGGGTCACACCATGCTTAGTAAGTATTCAGATCATGGAGCCAACTGGTGTCCTTAGGCATAATTTCCATCATCTAAGATTAAGGCAAAGGCACAGTTCCATGATTATTTTTATGTGATCAGGGTTGGCTAAGGACTAGACAGTCATTCATATGATGACAGTTGTTTAGTAAAGCTTTTCAGTGGAGCAATAACACTAGTAATAACAATAAGCAGGTGGGTGTATTTATTTAAATTAACAAAAGTTAAAGCTGACATGACAGCTTAATGACTCAGCATCTACAGTATTCTGCTGAAGTGTCCTTGAGGGAAAAAATACTACAAAGGTTTGAGCAGCCTGTAAAGACAGTGCTTAGTAAACCCTACTTTGGTAGATATCACAGCTTGCAAACACTTTTTGTACCCCGCTAAGAGTCTTTCTGTTAATGATTTAGAATGTTTCCCTCTCGTCATTGCATATCACTTCTCCTAGATACTTTCAGGCGGTCTTGCAGGCACAGTATGTTTAAGAGCTACCCACAGATTTTCAAAGACGTCCAAGTCAAGGGGACTGTGTGGGCCTTTCCAAAAGCTTCAATTTTAGTTCTTCAACTAGTTCATGGTGGAGTTTGAGGTTTGCTTTGGATCACTGTCCTGTTGTAGAGGCCAGCATCTTTTCAGTTTCAGTTTCTTGACTGGGTGCAGGACATTTGCATCCAGAATTAGCTGATATTTAGTGAAATCTATTCTTCCCTCTATCTGTGCAATGTGTCTTGTGCCACTGGTTGCCACACAATCCCAAAGCAGAATATTACCTCCTCCAGGCTTAATAGTTGGGTTTTTTTCTTTTCTTATGCTCTTGGAATAAAGTTGACAGTGTATTAACATTTGAACAAGCAGATTTTTAATATCTGGGATCTGCCTGTTTTTTCTTTTTACTTAAAAAAAATCAAACCTTTGCATACAACTGTATGCTGTGGTCTGCAGTTTATCCTGACCTCTGGCATGCAGCATCCCTATGAGATCAAAACAGTATCAGATTACTGTCTAACAACACAGACTCAACATATCCCATTCATGATGTGTGAAGGGCAAAATTGTTTCAGAAGTGGCAGTAGTGTAGATTTTATTCGAATTCCTCCCCATGAGATACCTTAAACCTCCATTCCTATAGGTGTCACTATAGTCGGCCCTCCCCTTCCACTCTACTCCTCCTCCTCCTCGTCCTCCTCCCATCCACCAAACCTCCGCGAAAGGGTGTGCGTTTTGAAGGTTGTATGAAGCTAAACGCAGATGCAGACAGAGCAGTCGCTACTTGGCTTGACAACCTGGGACAAGCCTCTGAAGCCGGAGACCATCACACCCCGAGTCTTCCTCTATCTCCCCACTGAGCTGAGCCCCCGACCAAGGTCCTGTCCTCACGGGGAAGAAAATGCCGCATACACGGGCACTGATGTCAAAAAGTTGAAATACATAGATGTACACGGCAAAATGCAATGTGGCAGCTGTGTGGCTTCTCTTCAAGGTCAGTATCACAGCAGCGCCGTCTCACGGACGAGTTTCTTGGGCTGTCGGAGGGGAAGAAGAGGCGTAGAGGGGATGCCGCTGTGTCTTGCTTGCCTCCAGCATCAACAATGACATCTTTCACCGACGACGACATTGATCGTCACTGACACAGAAACCGAGAAACTCGTGAAACACGGCTGTAATAACACGACCAGGATAGGTTCGACTTTTACAGCATTATTATCTGTACTGTTGTAAAAAAGAAACTCTTTACATCATCTTGGCATTTCCTGCACTCTTACTACGGCCTGTGTCAGTACGACTGTTTACCTGGCTACGAGCAACAACGCTGAAGACAAGCTAGCTAACGTTAATGGACAGAATGGGTTTTCGGTTCGGTTTAAGCTAGTCGAACTGACCGTTAAAGTGAATTAGAATGTTCGACGGTTGAAGAGTTGGTTAACTAACCTAACGTTACGAAGTTCTGCCTCCGCTGTATCCAACTTCTTCAACTTCCTTGGTTTTCAAGCGGACTTTTACCGAGTAATATTTTTTTTGTCGCTTTTATTTTATTTTATTTTTTAACAAAATGCCTTCGAGGACAGGTTCGCTCAGCCCGGCTGGCTTCGTGAAGAGTGTACCGGAGCGGGGACTGCTCCTACTGATGGTTTTGGTGCTCCTGGAGGGCACCGTGCTTACTCTCGGAGCTGCCAGCTCTCCGGATATCAGCCCGCAGGAAAAGTCAGACAACCATAAAAAGGCGGACGAAGGACATAACTTCACTAAAAAGGCTTTTCCTGTGCTCAGCCTCGACTACCATCACATACAGACGCCCTTCGAAATCTCATTATGGGTGCTCCTTGCTTCTTTAATGAAATTAGGTGAGTATCATGTGGACGTGTGTTATGTTAGTGCTGCATGTAGCTCCGCATTTCAGGTTCAGGTCTTTCAGGAAATGCTAGCGTTGTTAGTGTAAGCCATATGTTTATATGATCAGTTGTTATACAGGTGTACTCATTGTAGGTAAGTCAGCCTATTTGCAGCCAGTTCACATCAAAGCAAATACAGACAAGAGTCTGGTTAATCAGACTGCACTTTAAATCAAAATCACATATTGAAGAGAAGACTTGGTTAGACTGTAAACCTAGTGGTCAAATAGTGGATTCGGATAAGCAGAGATAGCATAATTGACTCATAAATCTTCAGATTACAAACCTGTTTCAACAACTTAACATATAGGCTGGACTCACAATAATTGACAGAAAGATCAAACCTATCATTTTACAGTCACAAGATAATCTCTGACCACCAGGCCACCCGTCCACCTTGTATTCTGCACAGCAATTAAGTCTGCTGACTTAGTTTTGGCCGGAATAGCTCAGTTTGCTCACTGACTTGGAGTAGATCTATATTGCTGGTCATGCAGATTACTCATCAGATCTGTAGGCTTCATGTAGAGTGGGTCTTTTGCTGGAGCTGTACTTACTCCTTGCCACAGTGATGACTAAGCAGCTTGATGCAGCAGTCTGGATATTTGAAAGCAACAATCAAGCGGCAAGTTTTCAACGCAGAGAAACCTCATGCTACACTTTTCTATGCCAAAGCCTTTCAACATTGTCATGAGGGATTTCTCAAAAGCAACAGGCAAATTAGAGTTGAGACACTTCATGATTTTGTGTTTGTTCCCAACTCTAATGTACATTAAAAGACTTCTGTCCAGCTCTTGTCTCTCTTGCTTCAGTGTCTTCTGTTTCCTCACCCTTTGTCACTCCTCCCCTCTCCACTCCTTTGCACTCTCTTTATGTCCTCTTTTCATTTATACGCTGTCCTGCCATTCCCTTTACCATCAATCCCCTCCTCGTGTTGTGCTTTCCACATAACACTGCATTGTCCCCTGCTATATTTTTCTGAGAGCCAGCAGTTTGTCAGTTGTCTGTGACATCAGGGGCCTGACTGAGCACCAGTGTGTAGCCAGGGAAGATACTGCCTCACTGTCTGGGCGAGAAGCCCAGTATCTCTGGGGACAGGACAGGCAGAGAGGGACCACCTGGCTCGGGTGGATCACTGTTAGGACATAGCTCAAGGGTGCAGAGTGAAAATAAGAGATGAGGATAAGGAGAGTGAGTGAGTTGAAGGAATTATGAAAGCAGAAGTAAAGCAGGAAAGAAATGCGATTGGATGAGCTGACAGCAGCAGTAGACAGTGGTGACCTTAAGCCTCTGCTTATCGTAGAACTGCTGAAAATGGGATGTGGGTAATTCAATGTGACTGCCACACTGTTCAGCCTTGGCCATGTCTCTGATTCATCTTCATGTGCCCAGTGTCATACAGGCGTAAAAGCACCACCCCAATCCATTTATCCCTTAAGTAACCCTGCTTATGTGCATGGTACATTTCTCCCCTCATTTTTCACACAAGAACCTTTCTTGAATTGATTATACCGAGTGCAAAAGCTTTTCATTTAAATGAAAACCCAGGGGATTTCATTTTATTATGAAAATGCCCCATCAGTGTTAAAGTAAGTGGAAAAGACTTTATATTTATGAGAAATCCTCTATTTTGGTTCCTGTAATGAGGTTGCAGACCAGTATTACACAGATGTAAGTATGTATTCTTTATCAACCTATGAGTCAAAGCTATAATTGGCACTGGAAACCTACCATATAGACCCCATAAAGTTTTTGCCTTTCTTTGGTGGAAGGCTGTGTTCGAAAGGATCTGTTTAGCTGTAATCAGGAAGAATAAATGCTTACAAGCTATTATCTAAATGACTTTGTTCCACATTCATATTACGAATGTAATATGTAACATATCAAAGCAAGATATACTGACCGGCTTCTATAAACAACGACGAGTACAATGTGATATGGTATAATGCCTGTAATAACTTACATCCTCATCAAACATTCACCAGCACTAGCTTTCAGATTGAACTTTCGATGAGATGATAATGTTCACTAGTTATATATGTATGGGCAGTGGGACACACCCTTTGGTAATTACCTTGGTGGCTGTGATGCTGCTTGTTCCCCTCCTTCCTTGTAACATGTCTGACAAGTCCAGTTAGTCTCACCTTCCATTCATAATTCACAGCTGGCCCAACAATTTGAAGAGAAGGTGTGTGTTTATTCAGTGTGACACCTCACGAAAGGTACATACACGCCATTACATACTGAGTTGCTGTATCTGAGTATAGTATTTTTTGAAGTGAGAGTTGGACTGCAACCTGAAGCTTTATCCTAATGTGCAGGATCACAGAAAAGGAAGTGAACATCAGCAAAATAATGAAACAAAATGTTTTTTTCAGTTTGTTAGCTAATTTGTGATGGTATGATGTGGACTTGTTCAATAAGAATACAAAAATTTTAATTTTTTGAGTGCCAGTATCCTACTTTATGGAGAGTGTTGCAACAGATTATAGTAGTCATTCATAAAGCAATATAGTAATACCATCACAGATGGCATAATTTTACACAGACTGGCTGTTAAGTCATATATGCCATAAACCACAGAGGTTTCACAGATTGTCCTAGAGTTTGCTAATAAAAATGAAAATATTTGATACGGGCAGGTCATGCTAAGCTTGCACTGATTGAACAAATACAAATGGCCTTGCTCTCAGCAGTGCTGCAGTTTATGTGGTTTGAGTGAGAAGTCGCACATATAACCCAGAATTTCAACTTCAGCAGATGCAGAGTGATCATCCATTAGTGGTAAACACTGCTGTAACCTGGTTTTACGCAGTTAAAGTAAAAAGACACTGTCATATTTTAACAGTTGTTTCCGAATCCACAAAGTTTTCATTCTTTGCCCATTTCTTTGGTTGTTTCTGATTGTTACGCCTGAGGAACTGCAACATTGTTGTCATTTTGTTCGCTTTGTGCATTGACATGACTCTGTGATCTTAAGTCTAGCTTTCATGGTGTGTGGTTGAATTTGTAAACTGTACAAGGGTTTAATTTTCTAAGAACCACAATGTCCTGATTAACATAATTTAAAAAATGCTGCAGTTTAGATCACTGAGTGAATGGTTCACTAAGAGCCCTGCCTATACCTTAAAAGACTGCTTATCTACAATAAACAGTTGATGATAACTGAGGTTGGAGACATTATCAGTATCACTGGGTTGACCTTTAAATCACCCTTATAATCATTGTTGAGGAGTATGTGTGCCTCCTGGTACCTCCTGCTACAGTTACTATATTTTTAAAATTCAGTCACTACATTTTGTTGATGAAATGTGCCAGGATCACCAAGTACTGACTTGTAATGAACTTGCAGTGTAAGGCTCAGTGTCTGACCACACTTTGACAAGATTCTCTATGAGTAAGTTTAATGAATACGTTTGTTGTCCAAAATAACAGGATATGGCAAATCTGCTAAGAAATATGGGCCATAACATTTTCCTTATCATTAATGCCTGTGTGGGAAAGATTCCAGATAAATCCCTGTAAACCACACCTTTTGCAAAGCTTTAGCCAATGTGTCACAAGTTATACACAGCTTATCTTCAATGCACTATTTAGGTTATGACTTAGCACTTAAGTTTTATGAGAAAGAAAAAATTTGATATGCCCCTAATCTTAGAAATCTTTACCTAGCATTTAACAAAAGTTATTAATATCCAATCAGTCGCCAAAGCATTCACGTTAATAGCCAGTAAAGCAATAATAAATAATAGTTGGCTTGATGCTTCTCAATTCTGTGCATGTTTCACAGGGTCAAAGGCAATAATCATCATTTTAGGTGTCAAGATTGTAATCTTTCTCTCTGTTTTCTTTCCATTTAAAACGTCACCCACTCAGATCACTAGAACACGCATGTACAGTATTGCTTAAAACAGATATTCGATACTATACACTGTACTGTACTCCACTCAGTAGTTACAGTAGATGTCTTTGTGAATTACAGTTAGGATCAAACAGAGGTGTTGCAGTGTTAACATCTCAACTGTCGGCATAGTTTGGAAACAACCCTTGCAAGGACTCACCGGTGTAGGTCAGCACTGTTTTTGTGCAGATATGGCATCAGGGATCATCTTGAAATATACCAGCAGCAGGCCTTTATTAATAATTTAAACCAACACTGGTCTTGCACAAGCAACTTGAGGAGCACAATAGTCTGCATCAAACAATCAAACACTGACTCACAAAAGCTTATCTTTTCACTGCTCTTTTTGTCAGGAAGGCCTGCATCTCTCTGACAGAGGCATGTTTCTTGACCTTCCTGTGATCATCAAAGTTTTGCAGTGTTGGAAAGTTGACCAACCAGTTTAACATCATATCCAAGAAAAGAATCAAATTAGTGTATCATTAATCACAGTCTTTAACAAATAGACTGTTTAAATATTTTGTCTTTTATGCTTGCTCAATCTAACTGATTTCTTTGTCAGCAGTGCACAATTAGTCACCTGGCAACAGGAAACAGGCTCTGGCTGTGGAAATTCTAATGTGTAGCAAGTACCAGGCTGTGCTGATACTGGGTACACATGCACACAAGTGAAAGAGCTGTTACCCTTTGCTGGTTTTCAATAACCTTCCTGCATACAGGCTCTCAGGAGAGAGAAGGGCAAGGACACAGCGCCTGTCGTTATTGACAAGCAGCCAGGATGAACCCCTTGATCTTATAGTTTAAGAATGTGGCAAAATAAACCCTTATGTATTTTACATACTGTATGGCTTTTCACCTGCGTTCACCTACCACTTATCTCCTTCATACATATGTCTGGACAACACTTAGGATGTGTGCCATGAGTGATTCCATGAAGTTCACTGCCCTCCTTTTCACTATCTTATCCCATGTGGTATGGCTCTTTACTGCTTGAGCACTGAAGGCCATAAATGGAGTCATGCAGGAGAGATTAAGAATGTGTTAACTGTCACCACTTAGTCAGGTTTGGATGCTTCAGGCTTTTTTCACTCCTTCACAGCCTTTTTGTCCAAAGTCGTGGATGTGTTGAGAGTTTTTTTCATTTAGATTGGTCAGTATTGATGCTGAAATGGCTTTTTGTCTCCTACTGGTTGTGCAGGATGCAGTCCTCACTCTGTCCCTCCTGGTCATGCATGAATGATAATGGGTCATTAAGAGTGTCATTCTTGGATCCCGTATTGAGTGTAGCACTCCTTGAGGCATCAGCAGTAATACATTTAGTCCATCCAGCCATGACCTGTTTGGCCTTTCATTGAGGACTGCACTGCCCATCTTTTTATTGAAGCTTTTGTGCAAGTGACTTTCTTTGTAGAGGTTGGGCACAAGAACAGTTTAGAAATGTTTGCTGAGGCATTTTGCTCCCCTTGAGAATTAAGCAACATTCCTGTGAGTTACTGAGTATTATTCCATGGCTCCTGCTGCGGTCAGAAATATGGACACACACTGATATGCCATGGTGTTCACTGAAGAATTTAAAAGTCCATGATAAGAACTAAAATTCCTGTCCTTCCTATTGATCTAAATGGTTATAGACTAATTTTTTTTTATAGAATCTCATGCTTTGACAGATTTTATGATTCATCTTATCTTCTATCAAAATGTGAGGGTTATGAAGTGTTGCTATGATATGGACAGAATCCTGAATTATTGCCCAGCCCCAGCTTTGCCATGTAACCATTGAAAGGAAAACTCCAATAAAACTTCATCTGATGTGTTTCTATGCAGATATTTTTTATAAAAGTCTATAATGGTCGTCAAATGCTTTTTCCCTGATTGAGGTTTAAGTGCCGGTTCATTGTGGCCTATTTATGGATCATGACGCAGGGAGTGAAAGCTGTGACCCTGTACCCTGGCTCAGTTTCATTACTTAATGTCACTCGGAAGAACATTTCACATGAGGGATAATGGGATTCCTTGTCTTCTAATAATACCCCCACTTGGTTTCCTAAGCCACCCTCAGGATTCAGTTAAGAATTATTTCTTCTTAGGAAAGCTTTGTGAAGTTCTATCATGATTTTTTTAAACAGTGTGTGTGTGACCAGAAGGTCTGCCGTCAGCCAAACTGCTCTATAGCCGGTTAAAATAAGTGGGTAACAGCAGATGAAGCTTGTGTAAATTGGCCAGTCTCACATATAAGTGTATATGGGTACACGAATTTGTTCAACATTGTCTACCACTGGAAGAACTCCCATCAGGCATTGCTGAAAATAAGCAAGGTTCTAGTGAAGTTGTTTATTTAAAATAAACTTGTTAAGAGCATTCTGTCCTCTGTAATTTTCCATGCATATGCTGTAGGCTATTGTAAGTTGTTTATTATGATAAAATAAACCACAAGGCTGTCATTTCTTAGATAATAGTGATAAGTTGCTGTCCTCTTGAACTGTAGTAGTAGCGTTCAAAAAGGATGTTTATTTTCCTTGAGTAAAGCAGTCCCGCTATATAGCCTGATATCATACATATGCAATATGCTCAGCAATGTAGAGCACAAGTCTCCACAAAGTCTGACTTGTAGAAACAAATGCTCTTTGTTACCAGACCTTGTTTTTTTGAATCCCACAACACCTTGTTGTTCACGTAGTTTTCTGTTGCACTCTTTCATCTTACAACAGGCTGAACAAGCTGACTTTCCATTAATGAGACTTTTAAATATATAAAGATTTTTACCATGCCTTGTGTACATATGTAAAGTGTTGGTAAATTTAAATTGTTAACAGGGGAATCTTTAAAGTCTTTGCAATTTTTTAGATGTATTTATAATAAAGCAAGGAAACTGGTATAAACTGTCAGTTACTGGTGGAATTTTTATGTAAGGAACTATTGTGGGTATGATTTTTGACGACAGCCTGTCACTGTAATCTATTCTTTTCAGCCACTTGTGTAATCTGGTGGCCCCCACACTGAACAGAGATCTCTGAAGTGCTGACGTCTCAAACAGATTTAGACACATGGTTCTTAATTATGTAGCAGTGTCTATAGGGGGTTTGGATGTTGTGAACGTTAATGTGCTAATTTACGGAGCTAATTTAGCTTTAATTTTAATGCTTTCTTCTGAAGAGACAGTGTCCTTTGGATAGTCTCAGAACTAGCTGTGGAATTTACATCCTGCTCGCCACATGAGCCTTAAGGGGGAGTCACATAAGGTTTTTGTTTAGCGTATTTTCGACAGTTATCACAGAATATCTTTGTTAAACCACATGGCTGCTAAGCCTCTACAGAGATGTGAGTGGTGCCTGTTTCCTAATAAAGCTCAATGAAAAGAGAAGAGCAGTCAGGCTCTGACATCTAGCTGTGGGGAAGTTAGGCCTCCTTAGACCATTTAGAATAAAGGCTCCCTCACTATCCGTCCTCTGAGCTCAAGACCTACAGCTGCATGCAGTTGTATAATCCACAGACATGCACTTTTGTGCTGAAACACTATTAGTGTTGTCCTCAAGCTGCCCAAGTATAAACACACGTCCCCCTACCTCAGATGTCTTCTATTCTCAAAGGGAATTTCAGTTGCTAAATGGTCACATACTGTTAATACGAAGCCATGTAACATTGTAATGATAAATTGAAGTATAAATATGATCCCAGTTCCTATGTTTTGATTATAAATTATCTTTTTATTTATGTATTTATTCTATTTATTTACAATTGATATTTTTGATTACTTATTCTTGTTTACTAACAAAATGTGTGTAAAGGCCTGTCCGTTAGACAACAAACTGTTTGATGTGCTAATGAATGAATATTAATTGGCTGCTCCACCATCCTGATTGTGCAAATGTAAACAAACTGGAGCAGGCCTGAGCTGTTCACCTGCCTGCCCCTCCCATCTTTGTTCAGGAGGGAGCACACCCCGTGGCTAGTGTGCCAAATGGTGCTGCTGTCGACATATGCTGCTGTGGATCCTTTTGTCCAAGATTCTTACAGCACCATGGATTCAAATTGTGTTTGAATATTTCCATTTGAATCTAAGATTACAGGGGTGTATGGACTACATATTTCCATGTAATGGCTGTAGGTGAATGTGTAAAACAGCTTGTTGACGTGGCTCTATTAATACATCATTTCCTTAGTTTCTATGTCACATATAAATATACACAGAGAGACTGCAAGGTCTTGCTGTGGATCCTTTGAGGCATGTAACATAAAACAGGTGCTATATCTCACATATGAGCTTCCACTACTTCTTCTGCTGCTTCTGTCAAAGATTGTGTTTGCACAGGATCCTTTGAAATGGCAAAAGCATGTCAAATTAAGAGTGTTATTCAAGTGGAATCATTGTTTGCTGTGCTTCCAGATTGTATTTCACCATGATAAAATCTATTTAATGATATACAATGTTATATGATCTACCCCTATAAGATTATTTAGCCTTTGTGTGAGCATGTAGCCTTACCTGGTTCATATTTCTTTATTGTTGTCATCAACTGGTACAGTGCCAGCTGGAAAATGACATGTCCCTGTGCTGCATTAGTGTACAGTAAATATAGCCGGGCAAAGACTTCTCACTATGGGCTGCATGCTGCTGTCTCTTTGAAGTCTCCATCCCTGTTTTGTTTAGTATTTGATCAGAGGCTGCAGTTGTCCTGTTACCTAAGTTTGTATGTCACCTTAAAGTTTATGATTCCGTGCGAAACCTCACAGCAGCACAGAGTGATGGTATCTGTGGTCCCATATCAGCTTAGTCACCCCATGTGAGACAGGCCCTTAGAGTCAAAGAGAAAGGCTTTTAAAGTAAAACAGAATTTGTCATTTATCTGGCAGTAGGTCTTATTGTTTGTAAAAGCATTAACATTATCTCACTCAACTTAGTCTCTTGAGACTCACTGCAGAGCTCCTTGTGCTGTGTGACATGTCAGCCAGACAGCTTTAGGCGATGGAAGATCATCTCAAAAGGTTATGTCAGTTATGAGGAAACTAACTTTCAACAATGAGGAACAAAAAGACAAATGAAAGCTGAAAGATTTTCTTACCACATAAGTTTAGTAAGTCTTATCTCCTGAATATGGGCTCATGGCAAATGTACTGTAGTTAAATTGCCGTATTGACTTGAATGGCTGGAGTTGAATTGTCACATGAGATCTGTCTACGATAAATGTTTTGCATATTATTTCCCTTTTTTCTTTCAAGAATTCACAAGACCATGGCGTTAACACCAGCAGCTACACAGCATACGGTACACTTGTCAAGTTCCTTCCTCAACCAACAGCTTCAAGACAGGAGCTGCCACTTTTTTCACATAAGCGTGCTGAGAAAATCAGTTCATCAAAAGTTCTGTGTTACAGACAGACAGCTGAAATAGGGAAATAAGGGCAGGCAAGCTGTGATGTGCCTGCATTATCTACATAAACATTTCTGCAGTTCCTACAAACATTAACTGTGCAGAAGATTTATTTCATGTTGAAATTAACATTGATGAAACTGTATGTACTGTAGTTGCACTATCAAAGTGGCTGCCAAATCTAAAGCAGACGTTAGAATTTGTTGACTGGGTGGTGCTAATTCTAATGAAAGTGTGGCATGTCACAGCTGATTGCTCTTGTAACGTTGTGCTAGAGAGCTCCAGATCGCTTTGCAGTGTTGCCTTCAGAAAACTGATGGGAAGAGTTCCAGTTTATCTTACCTAAACACACCTTCACTCACTCATCACTCAGGCAGACAGACAGACAGACAGACACACACACACACACACACACACACACACACACACACACACACACACACAGACACAGACACACACTCAGACTTAAAAATATCGTTTAATCCTGAATTTCTGCAGTGAGTATATTTGTTCTTTGTCTCACCCCATGCCATTGCATCTTATCCTTCTATGCCATCTATTTTCCCAGGGTTCCACCTGATTCCTCGTCTGTCCGGCATTGTGCCAGAAAGCTGCCTGTTGATTGTGGTGGGTCTGCTGGTGGGGGGGCTCATCAAACTAGCCGGAGAGAAAGTCCCACCAGTGCTGGACTCAAGATTGTTCTTCCTCTGCCTGCTGCCCCCCATCATCCTGGATGCTGGCTACTTCCTGCCCATCCGTCCTTTCATGGAAAACCTGGGTACGATCCTGATGTTTGCTGTTGTGGGGACTTTGTGGAATGCCTTCTTCGTCGGGGGCCTGCTGTATGCTGTGTGTCAGATCCAGCCCGCCAACCCATCAAACCTCCACACACTAGAGCTTCTGCCTTGCCTGCTGTTTGGATCCATCATCTCGGCTGTGGATCCTGTCGCTGTGCTTGCTGTGTTTGAGGAGATCCACATCAATGAACTTTTGCACATCCTGGTGTTTGGTGAATCACTGCTCAACGATGCCGTCACTGTGGTGAGTGACAAAAACAAGAAATAGGGCAGTGTGGTTGGTACTGTAGCAGACTTTCATGTTCATGTATTGTTTTATCGATGCTCCAATAAAGGTAGATTCGGAGATAAGAGGCTAGGAGATAAGAGGAAGAGATAATAAGCTCTCTTTCAATGATACAGATGATGCCAGAGTGAGCCCTTGGTTGGAGCCCTCAGAAGCTCCTATATCATCATTGCAGCCATAATTGGGTTCAGCTGATGTCCAGAGAAACAGTATCATTGTCTTCCTAAATAGAGTACCATCAAGTCATTTCTGAACCCTCTCATTGACACAAATGAAAACATTGGTGTTTAGCCCAGCAGTCTGTGACTAAGCTAAAACTTCTGTCTAAGGATGTTATAATTAGATCAGGTAGTGGAATTGAATTCTGTTACTTTAACCTTATAGTTAGACTTAACACACAGTGTTAACACACAGCTAGTGATCAACTGACTAGCCTGTCACCTCATAATACCTCTCAGCTCACAGCACACCATCTGTCAGCTGGCCTGTTCCAATGCAGCACCATCTATAGTATTGCGTTACAGCGTTGCATCGTAGCTATCCAAGTCATCAACCTTACTTTTAACAGCTAGTGCATTTGACATCAACTGGCAACAGCATGTATAGGTGGAGACAGTGCCAGATATTTCCAGAAGTCTTCCCCAGTATATCCCTCAAGTACTTTGCATGCTCATTTCCCAAGGGCCATTGTCTCCTGGTCAGATGTTCAGCTACAAGTTTGGCTTCAGTGCGCACGTATACAAGCTGGTCAGCACTGTGTCATCATTGGCACAGGCGGTTTTGAATGAAGGCTCTGGTGAGTGCCAGAGCTCATCAGCTTAGGAGCATTTGGCAATCGATGTGCATGATTAGCCTGTCTGGCATTACAGGAAGCAGTATATCCCATGGTGAGATACTTAAAAATGCTTGGTGAGGAACATTTAAGTATCTTTTTATCCATTTGGCACAAGCAAAATTTGCTGGCTAAATAGGTTTTGAAAAACAACCAATCCATTATGTTTTACTACAAAACCTAATCTTGAAAAATAATACCACACCAACACTGAGCAATACAAAATAAAGGCTACAGTCTCACTTGTGACAGCCTTAAGACCACACCAGAGGCCAAATCTATTTTCAGTAAACTCCCATTGTGACTTCAATGTTCCTCTTTTGAGCGCAGTCAGAGAATCAGTGGAGCCACATGGTGCATAGTTTTTTTTGTAGGCTTTTGTTGTGACTTGTCTGTCTTTGTCAAATATCTTAATCAAACCAATCTTAAATCCTAATCTATTTAGTCTTTTCCGCTTTTCTATTGTTTACTCTTTTCCTCCCCCCTATCTCCCATTCCTCCCTCTTCTAGGTGCTATACCACCTTTTTGAGGAGTATGCGGGAGTTGGCACAGTGACAGTGATGGACGGCTTCCTTGGAGTCATCTCCTTCCTGGTGGTTGCGTTGGGTGGCGTTCTAGTGGGAGCCATCTATGGTATCCTGTCTGCCTTCACATCACGCTTCACCTCCCACACGCGTGTCATCGAGCCACTTTTTGTCTTTGTGTACAGCTACATGGCCTACCTGTCAGCTGAGATGTTCCACCTCTCTGGCATCATGGCGTAAGTTTTGGGGGTGGTTATATATGGATAGTCATAGAGTGCGACCCACAGAATAACACATTATTAAGTGCTAATTTGGACGCTAAACATGTTAGCTAGTGTTTCTAGTTTCTAGTAATTCCTTAATTTAGTTCCTGTGGGTACATAGTTCCTAAAACTGTTTGGTTGAAAAGTGGGGAACATGGTAAACATCAGCATGTTAACCTTGTCATTGTGAGCATGTTAGCATTCTGATGTTAGCATTTAGCTCAAAGCTGTAGTAGAGCCTCACAGAGCTACTAATGTGGCCATAGAGTCTTAGTCTTGTTCAATCACATTTCCTGATTTTTAACATTTGAAGTAAATGCTTATGAACTTACTATAAAAGGCAGATGTCAAGTCATAATAGACGTGTGTGGAAGCTTAATTATTAACAAACATATCTAATCATACATTCTTCAATTTATGTGACTTGTAGACCTTTGAGGTTTCCTTTCTTGGAGGTACTTTTACTTATATAACATATGCATTCAGTAGATGTCTTTAAAGCATGTCAGAACAATGAGACCATGTATTTTTAGCATGGTTATCCCTAGAATCTAAGGCTGGTATCTCTGGTACCTTCCTCTACCCTGTGAGCTACAGTGTGTACGTTCAGCATTTACAATTTGAGTATCTAGCGTGTCATGTTTGCTCTCTGGTATCTGTGAAATACTTCAGCTGTTTCAGGGATGTCCCTCTTGAATCCATGTTTTTAATATATGGATCCTCTCTCAGTGATTAGTTGTCTTGGTCTATATACAACCTTGCCACTGCAGGGAAAATCAATTTCAGCTACTCCCCTATGACAGGAAGTCAACTTTACATCATGGTAGATTACACTCCCGTATAACCGGTGGTATAATGAATTAATCTGATTTAATGCCACCTAAACCAAGCCTGGATTTACTGGTATCTCAACAGTCTCTGAGGTGCCATTTTTCATCAGCTCCTCCAGTATGTATCAATCAATTTTCTCTTTAAGATGCTAGGAGTTATTGATGTTGGAGACAGGAGTTGATGATATGTTGAGTCTCCCCTCAGTGTCAGGGCCAATGGCTGTGTAGTGGTTGTGTAGAAGGACAACCCCTTCCGATGCCTGTGGCTGTCGTATTGTGCCCCACATCAAAAACTGGATTTGTCGAGGTGGTTTTATAAAGAAGTGAAACACCTTACCAGTGTGAATTCCCTTTATTATTTCTCTAAAGCACTGAAAGTCAAACCAATATTGACATGAAGGTAAAATGGGTGAATGTTGAGCAGCCGTTGTGGCATATGTAACTTGGATGGCATTTGTTTCCGGTATCCACATATTTGACATTGAAACACTGCATGACACAAGAATGGAATAGAGAAGTGGGTATCAGACAGGGATGGTGGAATCTTTGTTGTAACTGGAGCACTCCTTGAGTGGAAAACTCTGACATTACTGTTGTCTCAAGTCAAACCACCACTTCTTCTAAATTGGCTTTTGCCTTTAAAATGTCTAAAATCTTACTTTGCTTCATTTTGGTCACATGTTCAACAATTTTTTTATTTTATTTTGGGTGACAACAAGACTTGAATGAAATAAGACAAAAACATATTTGGAAACATGCAAACTATTAAGATATGTCTACAACTGTTCATTTCAGTATCTTTCAACTTAGCCAACATTTGCCTCTTCTCCTTCCAGGTTAATAGCATGTGGAGCAGTGATGCGGCCCTATGTGGAGGCCAATATATCCCACAAGTCCCACACCACCATCAAGTACTTCCTGAAAATGTGGAGCAGCGTCAGTGAGACACTGATTTTCATATTTCTGGGCGTAGCCACGGTGGACGGACCTCATTCTTGGAACTGGACCTTCGTCACTGTCACTGTCATTCTGTGTCTGGTGGCACGGGTCATAGGTCAGCTCTACTGCCATATTTCTCACAGCTAACAAATGTAATTGTGATTGTGCTAGGATGTGAAGTAATACAACTAACAACATACAACGATGTTGTTGCCGTTTCATCAGCAGTCACTGCAGATTTCTACTTGAAGTGTTTTTTATTTAACAGACTTGTCATTTATAGGGCTGACATGCAAATCAAAAAGACACAAGTAAACTTGTACTAACATGTATTATAGTTTACTTTGTAATTTACTGAAGGTTTGCCTAAAGAAGAAAGTGCATAAAAAGGGAACTAGGAGCATTGACAGGAGTAAATGTTACCATCATGTTTCATCACAGAGCTGTCGGAGTGTGAGAATGCCACTGAGGATTTCCATGTTGACTTCAGGCTGTCACAAGTCTTTCTGTGGATGATTTGTCATGCTAGAGTTATTAGTATTGTTGGAGAGAGAGACTGAAAGTGAAAGAATGATGAGCAGTGTTCAGTCATGCAATCCTGAATTGTCCTTATGTAACATTGTACTCCTCAGGATCTGATGAGGATGTGAGCAGACAAATCTGATGTCTGTGACTGGATAGTCGCAACCAATAGTCACGCACATTTTACCTCCATCACATGTTACAAGATCTTGTGATTGAATACAGTTTCTTGTCCTGACAGTTAAATGGCCATCCTGTTGTTTTTGCAGGTTTTAGATTGTTCACTATAAATCACATATCATTTGCATTACTGCCAACTACTACCTACTACCTTGACCTTGATCTGTAACATACACACAAAACACAAAACCCAACCTCAGTTTCTCATTACATTGTCCTTCTCAGGTGTGGTTGGCCTGACTTACGTCATCAACAAGTTCCGCATTGTCAAGCTGACCTCCAAGGACCAGTTCATTGTGGCTTATGGCGGCCTGCGAGGTGCCATCGCCTTCTCCCTTGGCTTCCTGCTGGACGAGAAACACTTTCCCATGAGGAACATGTTCCTCACTGCCATCATCACTGTTATCTTCTTCACAGTCTTTGTTCAGGTAAGAGTACCCTATATAAGTTGTCCTGTTTGAGAAAGAGTGTTTTCAGCCTGGCTTGCTGTGTCGTAGCGTGCTTCAAATCTCTCGTTATGGGATTTTAATATGACCACAATCAATGTACAATTTAAGCTTTTATTAAATCAAGACCTATTTAAACTATTCAAAGAGATTCCTGTGCTTTGACTTGTTCCCTGTATTAAAAACAGTAAACATTAGACATTGTTTGCCTATTGCAATATTGTAGTGTGGATTTTATTCACATGTCCTGTAGGTTACACACTCATTTGTATCTGTCATCACCAACTACACTGGTTTGCAAAAGAGTACCTTTTTGGTGTAGTTTATTTGCCTTGTAAGTGTAGTTTGAATTTTCACTTCCATCACTGTTTGTGAATTCACACTGACTGGTACATGAACAAAACCAATCCGGCTCAGAACAAATGTTTTGGAACAATTCATTGAAACGCTGTCAATCTTGTTGGACATGCTGAGGATTGAACATCAAGGGAACGCTCATATATTTATAGGAAGAAGTCGGTTTGCTACTTTTTCCAGAAATGGCCCTACTTGATGTCACGTCAGTTCCTCAACCTTTAGTGGTCATATTTTCTTGGTCTCTTCTGCTCCTTAAGTAAACGGCTCCAGGCACATGAGAAAATTCACATGAAAAAAATATGCAGAAGGAATAGGAAATATGTTTTATAAAAAGATGCATTTCTACTGAATTTACTCCCTGAGTTTACCTTAGGAAAACACATAAATATAAATACATAAAAGTAAGATAAAGAAGCACAGGCAGTGATTGTGTGCATATTACATTTTGTCCATTTGAAGTGCTGTGCACTGCATCTGCTCAGTCCTGTAAGATAAACCATTCTCCCAGTAAAACTGTAGGAAGATTCTTATGAACTGGACCCAGCAGCAGCTAAAATAAAACCCCGAAGACATGTGCCTTCTCCGCAGAGGCTAGATTAGAAACATGTTTTATTCATTATGCTGGATTCAGCACTGGCAGTCTGATGCTGAGACAGATGCAGGGGGAAGAACGTGGAGGCCACTTTCACCTGCAATGTGGAGTTAAAAGTAGAACTCCGTGTGAGTGAGTTAGACTGGAATTGAGTGTGTGATGTTATTTAGAAGAGAGCAAGTCTACATCTGAAGTGAAAAATGTTATCATGAGAAATTGTCAGATTTACTTGATAATAGTAAATGTAAGAATAATCAAAGAATGACCAGGGAAAATTCTGCATTTCTGGACTCGTTCGTTTGCTGATTGGCGAGTTGAATATCTGCTGAGGTGTCATTAGTAGCTGTAACTGTTGCTGGTATAATTATGTGGAATTGAGACAATTTATTTATTGGAAACTGGCCTATGATTAAGGTTAGGTTGTTGTTTAATTTTTATATTTATGTGAGCCAAACAGCATCACGAGCATGGAAAGCTGATTAAATCCATCCAAACTAATCTCATGTCTGAACTTCAGAATTTCCCTGCAAAGAAACTGAGGGAGGGACGATGAATGATTCTGTGGTTTGTTGCGCAAGTTGTCATGGATTATAGTGGCTAATAGTGGTTGAAATGATGCAGTTCATTCCCTTCATTCTGAGAGTTTTTAAATCGTACTGGTTGGCTTTAAGTGGGACTTAAACGTTAGGGATAACCACGATATATCAACTTTCTATTTGTTAGAAATAGAATAAGCTTTGGAATAAGCATGAGGTGATTAAAGTGCAGTTTCCTTGGCATACATGCCATTCGGTTGTGCCATGCATTTTTCTTAATCCTATCAATGACTCACCAAAAATAGACAATGTGATTACATATCAACATATTTCTAGTGAAGCTACAATGGAGTTAAGTTGAAGACACATTTTTAGGTCTACAACAATCAAACAACATCAACTCCTGCTTTACAACCATGTAAAGCATGATACAAACACACAATGTGTACACATCATTAAGATACTTTAAACAGAGTTGTGCACACAAGTTGTGTTTATGATCACATTCCTCTTAGAATATAATCAGTGATCCATCCATGCCTTTCTTAACCCTTACCCCCTTGTATGCTTCAAAGAATGTATATTCAGTGACAACAGTGGTCACACAGTAATATTAATGTTTAGTATTATCTACAACTAAAAGGATTTCACTGTGTTTATGTTACTAGAATGCTGATTTACCAATTTGTTAAAGATGTTGAAATACGTAACAGCTATGGCTGTCCTCCTCTAAAGCGGAGGGTGAAAATTACAGCAAAGACGTCAGAGTTGTTAACAAAGAGTGTGTGACAATCTGCCGGTTCTGTTAATCAGCTGTTGCAAAATGTTCCAGCGAGTGACTTGTGATACTAATAGGCTTATACTTGACTTCAGTGAATAAAAAAAAAGCACGATGGCATCTCCTGCATTGCAAACTGGGACAAGTGTGACCTGATAAGCTGATCAGGTGATGTCAGTATTAGGGTATGGAGTGTGTGTTTTTATACATCACTCACACACACATAGAAAGATCATAAGAATGTCATCTTCTCATTTCACTCTTGCATAGACTGGGTGACAAGAGCCTGTCTCAGTCTTTAGCTAAGGTCACAAGGTGTTTACAGCAAATAATGTTTTATTCCTCCCATCCTTCTTGCAGGGTATGACCATCAAGCCCCTGGTGGAGTTGCTAGCAGTGAAGAAGAAACAGGAAGCCAAGCGCTCCATTAATGAGGAAATCCACACCCAGGTAAAACCTACAACCGTCCACAGCCTTTGTTGTCAGTAGCTGATGATTTCTTGATTGTTTATACTTATGAATGACCTACAGTGTTTTTGTACACAGCTGATAGATAAAATGTCAAAATGGTTTAAAATGCTTTGGACCACAGGAGATCTTCTACATAAATTAATGTGATACATGTAGTAAATACTGATTAATTCATCAACTTCCTCTTTTACCAAGCTGTCCTTTGTTAAGCCTTTGCTAAACAATGCATTCTTACTTCCTGTCATGTTTTTACTTACTCAGCACACAGACAGGTACAGAAAGAAAATTATTACTCATAATAGCACCATTTTTTATCCTTCTCTAGACTGAGAAATGCAGTTTCACAAATGATAAAACTTTGATATTGTTGTCTGTTGAAGTTATGTAAAGTGTAACATCCTTGTCCAGTAACAAGCCTCTGAGGCCATTTAGTTCAACAAATTTGGATAGCTGCTTCCATCTACTGGCTGTGAGGTGGTACTTGTGTCCATTGAATGTCCATCCACAGATTTTCATCATGAAATGATAAAAATGATTCTATATCGCAGCGTTTTTAACAGCTAGTTTAATCTAACTTGAGTACACAAAGCTTCTTGTATCCTCAGTATTTGCTAGTCAAGCACATTCATTAGTGACTGCCATGGTGCACAATCCCACACACACACACACACACACACACACACACACAGAGACACACACACACACACACACACACACACACACACACACACACACACACAGACAGAGCCCTTTTCCGGGGCTTTATGGTGAGTCACCAGTGCTTGAGGCTAGAAGAGCAGGCTGTTCTAATGGCTTCTTCTCCTCTATAAACCATTGTTGATTAGAGTCAACTGAGCTGGCTGAGTACACAATCCTACGGGGCTACGATGTGGCTTTGAATCCAAATGCAGTCCTCTTGTATGGAGGTTGTGAATGTATTCATTAATATATTTAGGCAAGTGGTTAAGTGACATACTGTTTCTATTCCACCTGTTAGAGGTCAAAACTTCAGCAACACTTGCAGTAGACACAACTTCATTGTTAGACCGACGTGTTTTGGCTTGTGACCTTCATCATAATCATCCTCTCCCACCTGTTAAAGGATGCTGCAATGCTGCATATCCTCTCAAACACCTTGTAGAGGTTTTGCTTGCTCTATTTGTAACCATTGTTACATACTTGTGTATGTTGACATGATAAGTTACTCACAATGATCGTGGTGTCACAATACAGGCGCTAAATGCTACATGCAGCACATTGTGTGACAATCATGTTTGGTCCATCACAATATTATTGCAACCAAAAAAGAAAACATGACCCTAAGATAAAAAGTTATTCATTCAAAAAGCAGACAGTAATCACATGTCTTTACTGCATAATGAGCAGCTGTTGGTTTTGTACAATTCTATAGATGAGTGAGATAAAACAGTGTTTAACAAAGAGTAAAATCGAGTTTGAGCCTTTTTTTTAGCTCGTACAGCAACAAGTACACCTGTGCCTTTTATTTAATGTCAAACAGACATAAACAGATGAAATCTATCTATCTATCTAGCTATCTATCTGTCTAGTGTCCCTGTGTTAGCTGTGCTTTAATCTATCTGTCCATCTACCTATCTACATATATACATGTATTAATTATTAGTTTCACCTTTCATCTACCAGCGTTAAGACTCTAGAGAAACTTCATGCAGTTGCCACTTTTTAAGATGAGACTTTTCACCCCCACCCTCGCAGTGTTGGGGAGTCTTTATATAAATTATGACAAAGCAGAAGTAAATTCTGTGGCTCCACTTAATGACTTGTTCCCATAGCAACACTGCCTGCCAGACTGTCATCCGCAGGCTTAGTCAGAACACCGGGGCGACCTATGGGCCGGCTGTAGTCTGAACAACAACAGCAGTACATTTCTCTGGTTCTGTTAATAAATTCTGTGCAATCAATCACATGGCTGCTGCCGCTGGTTTTCGCTCATGGATTCCATTTTAAAAGCTTTTTGCCTGCTGTTGTTGATAATGATGTTTGCAGTCTTACCTGGGAGGGTGTTTTAACCGTGAGGAACAGTAACAGTGGGGAGGGAAAAGGAACGAGATGTTGCTTAGTAATGTGTGGTACCAGAGTTCCTGTAATCACTGTTGTTAGTCATACATACACCCATAGTTCATACACCAAAAAACTAACTTTAGACTTAACAAAAAAGAAGAACATAGCAAGTGTCACAAAAAAAGAAGCTGTTTTTGACCTATGACATTGCTTTAAATCAGGTTGTACTATAGCAGATGTAACACGGGCACTGGAAAGTCTTGTATATTACATTTATGTTTGTTCTTGGGCAAATGACATTGTTGGTAGCTTGCTAAGTTTTCAAGTAATTGAAAATACTAATCAGCAAATGCTTGAGGCCAGTTTCACAGTCTGATGCAATCTGAAGTGTATTTTCTGTCTGTCCAACAACTTCTGAAGATGATTTTCTATTTATTAATCCCCAGTTCCTCGACCACCTGTTGACTGGAATCGAGGACATCTGTGGACACTATGGACACCACCACTGGAAGGACAAGTATGGATTTTACAGTGAACTGACATTACAGCTTGCAGTCATCAGAGAACTTGGGCTGCATTATTTTCAGTACTGATTCATTCAGTTGTTCAGCTATGAAATGTCAAACACACTGACAAATGCTCATCATAAATTAACCAAGTTCAAATTGATGTCTTTAATTACATCAAAAGCAAGCAAATCTTTGACCATGAAATGTTTGTTATTTTTACTCATTAAGTGGCTTATATTATTAATTAATCTTCATAATTGTCATTGATTAATTTTCTGTCATGATCAGCTAATTATTCTAGCCCTGTAGAGATTACACATTAACTATGGCTATAAATGTGAAATAATTGCCGTCGGTGATTAATTCCCCCATTTTAACCTCTTTTTTTCCATCTAATATGCAAACTCTGCCCAGCCTCTCCCTACTCCCTTTGCTGCTTTTACCCCCATGTCTCTGTTTTAGCCCTGGTCTCTGTTTTCATCTGTCACTACTTTCTTCCCCCCAGACTGAACCGCTTCAACAAGAAGTATGTGAAGAAGTGCCTAATTGCGGGCGAACGCTCCAAGGAGCCACAGCTCATCGCCTTCTATCACAAGATGGAGATGAAACAGGCCATTGAGCTGGTGGAGAGTGGAGGGGGAGTCAAGCTGCCCTCTGCTGTGCCTTCCACCGTTTCCATGCAGTGAGTGTTGAGTAGCCGCATACCGTATCTGTAGTCAACACATCAGAAAGCCAAACTGTCCACACTGGCTATAATGACATTTTTCCACCATGCTGTGCACATTTTCATGAATTGACTTTGATACAGTCTTTCAAATTTACAATAGTACTGATATATTCTAAATGTTAAGGTCATATGTAGGCCGACACAATAAAAGCAGGTGAACCATGAACCACAGTAGTTTCTGATGAGCTATAAATGGAACAGTAACTGTTAATGGTTGAAATCAGCGCATGATGATGGCTTAAATGACTTCCTGAGTTTTTTAGTTTTTTGTTTATAGTTAAAAAGCTCAAAAATCTCTATTTAAGGAAGAATTTTATCCATGTGTGTCAAGGTGTTTTTTTTTTTATATCTAATGGGTGTGTGGCACATTGTTTCAGGGGTAGAATGGTTGGCGGATGACTGGAAGGTTGCTGGTTCTTTGACACCAAGTGTGTCATCACCTTTCCAGTCATGTTCCTTCCACCAAGTGGTGAGAGGTTTCTGTTTACCACTGCACAGTATATTTGTGTCATGAAACCATTAAAAAAGATCTTACTGTAAGCATCTGCACAGGCCTTTGACATCTGTAGTAACATGTCCCAGTGATAAATTGCTAAATTAAGCCTTGGTCAGTTTTAATATCCCGTGCAAGCGCAGTATTTAAACTAAAAGAGTCATCCTTCTCTAAATGTTTGTAAAAGCTTTTAAATATACTAAAAAGTATGAATATTTGGTGTTTGCTCACCAGTTTGATCAGACATTATATTTTCCCTTTCCACTCTGCTGGTCTCAGACTGAGCCTAGACAAGAACAGAGCCGTCAGAGAAATTAATTCAGTAAGAACAGCAACGTCATGTACAATTAACAAACTACTTACTTTGTTGAAACAGAGTGTCAGTTAAAGAAAGAGCTGATCTTAGCTCTGATATTCCTAGGTAAATTACTTGTCCTGGTCTGTTTGTTTACTGACAGCCCACACATAAGAAAGTCGCTCTCATCTGATCATTAGAGAGAGAGAAAGTATTAAGGAAACTCCCTGTCAGAGATTTGATTATCACAAGCATGTCATGTCTCCAAATTCTTTCCGCTGGACTGTGATAGAAAAACTCAGACAATTCTTCATGTATATTTCTCAGGAACATCCAGCCCAAGAAGATTCCTCCTGCCAAGTCCGTAGAGAGAGCTCTGCCGCAGCTGCCTAAAGGCAGAGAGGAGGAGATCAGGAAGATCCTCAGGAGTAACCTTCAGAAGACACGACAGAGGGTAACGCTGCTGCTATATGAGCATATAAAGATTATCATGTGTTTTTCTTATTTGCACTAGCTAAAGATGTATCATCTTGCATTACTGGTCATTCGTATTGAAGTAGCTCTGCCATATTACTTTACAGTGTTTTGATTGTTTTTGAGTTAGAATTGAATCAGTAGCTCAACTTTTACATTAACTCATACACACATTACTGAATTTAATCTTTAGGGAGGGAGGGTGTAAATCAATAAGAAGAGCATTTCTTACTGATTTACACTGGTTAAAAGCTTTGGTCCCTTGAGGTGATCATAACATGAGTAAATGAACAGTGATGCCACAATAGTAGTCCAACCTCTTCATAGAATGTTCAACACACTATTATTCTTCTTCTATTTATATTTGTATCATTACTTCTGTTTGGAATAAACAGAAACAAACAGTGACAAAATAGTTTTTGTCATAAATTCTTTTATTTGTTAACTATTAAATTAAAAAAAATAACCATGTGAAGTGTGTCTTTTCTTTCTCAGCTGCGCTCCTACAACAGACACACTCTGGTGGCTGATCCATATGAGGATGGATTTAGTGACCTACTTCTTAAGAAGCAAAAGATGGTTGAGCTGGAGAAGAAGGTACGATTATCAGTCTCAGTCACATCCACACTTCTTAAATCAAGAATCACCTCTTAAATCAAACCAGCTGTCTGCTCTGTCAAATGTTACTGACACTTGGTCACAGCATGATTGAACCAAACATGTTATGTTAATCAGTCAGTGCTAAAGAAGCTACAGAATTTTACAATTTTCAGGTAATACCATAGCAATGTGCCTCAGTGACTGTTATGCAGTCTGGTTTATAACTGCTTTTTTTTTGGGGGGGGTTTTTTGCATAATTTATGTGGAAGCTGCAGCTACAGTCCAGACCACTTTCTCATTGGAAAGTGGATTCAGACTTTTGGACCCCACTCTGTATATTGCAGAAAGCCGCCTGTAGTAAATCCTGAGAAGTACAGACAACAGATAAAGAGCAGATTTTCTCATTTCATAACGGGCCACCAGCAGCTGAATGATTCAGCCAAAACTATGATTTGTGTTCAAATTAGAGTCCACCTTCAGTCTCCTAAATTAATTTTCTCAATACAAACGGGAGCTGATTTATTTGCACGGTTGAATGGCCCTACCACAAACTTCCATTTCGTTTGCCTGTAATTACATAATGAAAATGGACCCTTGTTTTGGTTAAATCAAATGTGCTAGAAGCCACTGCAGACTCGAGAGGATTTCTGCAGAGACTAACAAAGCAACAAATCATTTTAATGAAGTTCCTCTAAGATATTTATTAATGGGGAATTACTGAGCTGTTTTACTTTGGCCGTTGTTCTTCCCAAACAAGAGAATGAGGCAGAAAATATATTTCTTTTAATTTTTCTGTCATCTCAGCTTTGTATTTTAGTGATAGTAAATGTTTATGGAAGTTGCATTATATAACTGTTGCATTTTGATTCTATAAACAACAATATCCTGTGTTTTCCTAGATAAAAGAGATGAATAACTACCTGACCGTGCCTGCTGCACCTCCTGACTCCCCGACCATGTGTAGAGCCAGACTGGCCTCAGGTAAACACACTTAGCCACAACCAAATCAAATACTCAGTGTCTAGCACCTTTTTACTATCAGGTACCACCTGAAACAATGCTGGAAATTCACCATGTCACTGATGCGACCCAAAGGGTTCAGACATTCTATTTTGTGAGGATCACAAGGTGGCATTCCATAGAACAATAAACACTTTAGAAAACACTGCTGTGCTTCACAGCTGCAGCAACAGATATTTCCCCCCTGATGGAAATATGTTTGCATGTGCCAGCCGGCATGTAAACCAGTGTTTGGTTTCATTTTAGGCAAAGATACTGATTTCAAACCTGCTCAGCAGCAGAAAGGGAACAAAATCTGTCCAGGTATGTAGTGAGTGTAGAGAAGATTCATTTTGAGTTGTAATAACCCAGCAGCAGTCCTAACATGCATGCTCCAATTATCCTGCTTGTTAACATCCATTAATTATTCATTACTAATGAGGGAATGTCATAACATGATTGACAAGCCTGAATTCAGATGATTACTTATAGCCAAAGAGTCCTGCTGGTAATAGATTATAGGTAAGCATGTATGTTACATGTGAGGAGCTTCAGTTTGTGTTTTTCATTGCAAGTTTTAACTAGAAATGCAATTATTCCAGCATGAGTTGCCTTATAAATGGTCGTGACTTACTTTGCTTTATTTTTGTTGTATTGTGAAATATGTGGAAAGGTATTAAAGCCTGCTGCTGTCTAGTTTGTGCAGTGATGCTACAATGGTAGCTTTATTGACCTTGGTTTTTGTTGTTCACATTCTCTTCTCCTTTTATACCGTATGTTCTTGCACGCTGATGGAATGACTGAATAATATTAGATCCCTTTTTAAAGCCCTGTTAAAGCTAACTTTCTGATACTGTATCCCTGTCCTGACCATAGATCCCCAAGCCTACAGTGTGAAGCAGGTGTCTGACAGCGTGCCGACCATCCAGGTAGACCTGGCCTCTCCTCAGTCTCCAGACTCCGTCAACGTAATGGATGAATTTAGACGGGCCAACCAAGAGGAGGAGGACCGGGGCCTGATGATGAGGCCTCCCCAAGGGCTGAGTGGACCTCACAAGTCAGGTGATGCTGACGGAGGCAGAGATCAGCAGAAGCTGATGAGGTGTCTCAGTGACCCCGGTCCCAGTGCAGACGAGGATGAGGATGAACCCTTCCTGCCTTAGTATGGCAGATCAGGCTGCTCGCCCACCTTTACTGGTTAGAGGAGAGAGGGCTGCTTCACTTCTCTGTTTTAAATTATCGCTTTGGTTCAACCAAACAAGCCAAAACTGCTCATGCTGTACAAACCAGAAACTAAAAGCAAAAGGAGGTTGCCCGAGAAGAAGAAAAAAAGAGTCATTCGTTTGTTATTGTCATTGCTCTTTATTTTTTCAGACAGGATTGGAACAGCAGTCGCTGCTCTCTGAGAGATGGTGGAGTTTATGATCGATAGTCTGAGACATTCAGGAAAGAACTATGCATTACCAAAGGTCTGGACTGATGTAGTGTCAGACAATATTGTTTTTACTTTAGTGTCAGACTGTTTTTCTCTCTCTATAGGTAGTAATTTTATTTTTGTTCATGATTTTATAACTTTTTTTCTTTCAAGCTACATTCTCTAAAACATGCTGGTCTTCTAGTCCTAAATGTAATCAACAAAGCAAAACTACATCAGTCCAGTTTTCACTGTCGACATAGCACTTGAGTTCTTTCATTCTCTCACTTGAAATAGCTGGATATCAAACAGTTAGTGTAGCTAGTTGAAAATATTTTTTGCCTTATTTCATGTCAGATCCTTTTTTTTTTTTTTTTTTAAAGCATTTTAATTTCAGGGGTACTAACATCTGTTTGTAATCAGAGTTTGTTCCAGCAGTCGTGGGATGTAAGTAAAAGCTGGATGTATTTAGTCACTGTGCAAACCACAGCGTAAAAGAACCACAGTTCTTTATAGTCATGCTTACAGACCTGCGGCTTTGTCGTATGGCCGTGGAGGGAATTAATGTGGACTTGAAAAAATCCTCACTATTGTATAAAGTAGTTCTGACTTACAGATGTGGAGCGAAGCTGAGTGTTTGGGAAGCTTGTGAGACAGGCAGTGATGCAGCACAGATGTGTTGATGTCAGCCTTCATGCTTGATTCCCTATCGAAGTCTGCTGTAGTTAAATCACACTCAATGTTGTCATGTCATGTTTCTATGTACATGTTTTATATTTTACCTCAGTTTAGATCACTCACTCAATTAGTCGTGGAGTCGTAAGAGTAGATTTCACTCTTAATATTGATGTAATGAGCCATCTAACACTCATCACCTTCACACTGACTGAAGTATATCAGATCTAATTGCTCACTCTGTTTTACATGCCATTTTACATTCTTCAGTTTTTTTATTGGCCTTTGCAAGAAGCATTTGTGTCCTACTTTACTTTTGACCATCTTAGAGGACATGACAAGTGAAGGTTAGTTTGTACAGGAATCCATCCACGCATCCTAACCTTCTTGAAATCTAAGACTGTAGGCAAAAGAGAAATGTAATTCTATGCATTATAGATGTGTAAATTATGTAAATTAAATATAATAACCTATATTTATGAACACCCTTTAAAACAGAAGTCTTGTAATCTTATAAACATGCAAAACACAGAGAAAAACCAATGCTAAAGTCAAAGCAAATCAAATATGGGCATTAAGACAAACGATCATAAAAAGAAAACATTTCATGAGAGTTTTTGCACATCTGAGCAAGACTGAAAAGTTATCTGCAGGCATGAAAACGTAGTCTAGTGTTTTGTTGACACAGTCAGCCCTTCTCTACTGTACGTAGTTGTACAGTGTGTATGATACCCAGTGTAAAATACATTGCATGTCTTTTTTACACAGCTGCTCAGTGAATTGTAACATGTCATAAATTTACAATGAAGTTCTTGATTGTGTCAGAAACATGCACCATTTTGTTTCTTCTACAGTCAGAACAGAAAAGTGCCACAGCCAATAACAATTAGATTTTAAACCCACAAGTATTTCTTTCACCCAGGTCTATTATCACTTGATACTACAAAAAGAGTGTAGTTTCTCCATAGAGACCAAGAGCAAACTTTGGCTTTGGATGAAGCCTGAGTGAGTCACTGTTCTACTTTTCTTGCTGTTTTGTAGGTGTTAGTGACCATTGATCCTTCCTGATCCTCTTATTTGCAGAAGGTTCAAATTACAGCAGAGGGGAGAGAGCAGAAGAACCTGACAGGCTTCTTCATTTTCCCCAACTCTTCTTTTTTTTAAGCATCTTTAATGTTCTGCTATGATTTCCGTATCAAGGGTAACAGGATATTTTGTCTGTGCACACACGCACTCATGTAAACCTAGGTGAATGTACTAGAAAATCTGAGCCTACCTGCACCGTAGCCGAGCGTGTTTGGTTCATTCCTTGCCCCTGACACTTCTCCCGCTTCACAGTTTCTAAAAGGATAATTGCAGCTGAGAGATGGGAGGGTCAAACCTTAAAGCATCTGTCTCATCCAAATTGAATTTCCCTTCGGAAATGTCTGAGTGCACGACGGAGTGTCGGAGTGGAGTGCTGTGCTGAAAATGTCAACAAGGACAAGGTCAAAGACACGAGGGTTGTTAAAAACCCTGGAATGACTAGGCAAGTGACAGGTGGTACCTTCTCCCCATCCTCAGATCTTCCTTTTATCGTTGTTTAAAGGACAGTGACATTTATGTGCAGCATCACATTTATGAGGTGTGTAAACTCTAGCTGCATAATCCCCGAGAACTGTTTCTCTCCATCTGTGAATGGAAGCTTTACACGATGCTGCTGGGACAACTTCTATATCATCGTCCCACGTGCTACATGATTTGGCCTCCGCACTTTTAAGTAGGTTTTAGGAAGGTTGCAGTGAGTAAAGCATTTGTAAACGTAGTCCCACTGGTGAATATGTGTAACCGTGTGAATACAAAACAAGGTAATTCTCTGAGAGAATAGGTTTATTCTACAAGGGCGTTGTATTTTTCATATCGATGGACACATGAGTAACATAATTTGGGGATGTGATCAAATAGAGGGAAATCAAAAACCTCAAACAACCAATTTAAATCAAAACAATCCTTAAAACAAGACATCATATCCCTGATTACATCATTTTATTCCAAAGACTTTTAGTTTCTCAAAAAGAAAAAAAAACGACTATTTTCATACTTCTTTTTTTTTTTATACCAAATGCATCTTTTTTGGGCAAACATTCTCACACTCCTCGGAGGGAAATGTTTGGTGCAGAAAACTTTAATCTAAAGCCATACAGCCTATAGAAGAACCTATTTTATTCTATTCATGTATTAAAATTTCATACACATCATTTTGCCTTTGTTTTGCTCAACGCACAGAGCAAACACAAGCCTTTACATTTAAATCACTTGTGTCTTCTTTGCTTATTTATGTTTATGTTCTCTGTTTAAACTTTTTCTGCAGCGGTGAATTGTTTTAAGTCGTGGCAGTTGTTCTCATTGAATGTGTTGAACTGAATTACAATGTCAACACTGTTGCCTCACCAGCATTCACTTCAGCTTTGTGATGCTTTGTTCTTTGCATCTCTCTGTGCTTTAAAAATGCTCCATGTGCTTTACTGTTCAACTGCTTTATTGTACAAAGACCTTTTTTTTGGCTTTACAGGGATATGAGTCCCTTTTTTATTATGAGTATTTTATCAGGATTCATGTGCATCACAAGGCTTCACTGTTATTCTTTCCCATCTCATGTTTACCTAAAACAGCTCTCCGGGAGCATTTGTCATCCAAACTTTATACTGTGGAGGCTCTGGCTTCACTTAGTAGAAATAAGCTGAATTTACAACTATAAACTGTAATCAGTACAGCTTAAAAGCCTTATGCTCAAATTCAGTGCTCCTAAATTTAGATTGTGGGAAAAGTAAAGTGAAGGCATCGATTACAATCAGCCATACAAGCGGGTAAATAACTCTTTAGCTTAAGGACACATTGGTGTTTTTGCATGTGTTTGATTTGTATTTTAGTTGTGTTTTTCCCTGCAATCCAAGCAGCCATTAGTTTCCATTCATTCCCTACAATGTAACACATCCCTGTAAAGACTTTAAACTTGCTTCAGATCCATCATCGTGAACATCAGCTATTATGTCAGGTACATTTATGTTGTGTAATTACAGTGCATTTTCATGTAATCAACTTAGACCTGCAGTGCCATGCAACAGTTAAATAAATATATACTAATGGCTGTCTCAGAGGTAAAAAAAAAAAAAAAACTTAAACACTACAGTGTGCTTTGAAAAAGGCATTAATTAGCATTTATTTAGTGTCATGATTTGTATTATATGGGCTAAAATATGCAAAAACACTGGTGTGTTCCATAGCACTGTAATATTGGACCAGCCTGCACGGCTAACACTTACACTGCAGATCAACATTAGACAATTATAAAAGGCTGTAATCACAGTGTGACGCACACGCACGTCAATATACGTCAACGTCAACATAATGACCCTGTGGTGACATTATTCCATGACCCAAAGACTGTTTTCCTCCCTTGTTTACCTCATCGTTTTCCAATTTGCCTGATCCGGCTTCTGTTGAGTTCCATCGTTTCACACCACACCGAGCACTTTAATGAAGCAGTACCTTTATCTCCAAACACTGATGTTAGAGAGAGCAATAAGTGGCTTTAATGTAGTGTACACATTGTGCATAGCTATCAGGTTACACATCACAGGGAAAAGGAATGTACTTTATGATGGGCCTTATAAAGGGATTGGTTTTGTGTTTTTAGTCCTAAAGCAGACAAACTGGGATTTTAAATCCTAGTGAAAGCTGTGCTACGACTCGACACGGTGGATTATATTTCCCTTTTACATATATTTTGTTTTGTTTATCTTTATGTGTTTGTTAAATTTATGTCAGTCAATTACTTGCAGTTTGCAAATTTAAATTTTGCAATAATTAAAGTTATTTTTTTTTAATTTTATATACACATGACTGGGAACACACACACACACACACCTATATATATATATTTATATATATATATATATATATAATGAAAACAAAAGATGTATTAGAAATTTATTATAATGATGTTAGGCTACAAATCATCAGAATCTGAAAGATAATAAGTGTGCACTTTCTTGTTGATTAATCTTTAGCTTTCAGCATTCCATTCCTGTAATGACCAGTAAAAACTAACAACCAGAGATGAACCTATGTCAGAAACTATATACCAAATTAAAGTTTTACTTTATAGCACTGCTGTGTCCATGTATCATGATTTCCAAACAAAACATTGAAGGTCGATATCACGGTAAATAGGAAACTACCACCAGCAGCCAGTTAGCTTAGCTTTGCATAAAGACTGGCAACAGGGGAAACAGCGCTCACCTGGCATTTTGGAAAAAAAAGAAAAAAGTTTCCCCAAGTAAAAGTGCAGGGGTAATATCAGCAATATTTAAAGTATTAGTACTAGTACTCATGATGCAGACTTACTGTTACATTGGATTATAATCACTGATGAAATAATGTTTGAGCAGGATTTTATGGCTGCTGGTTGAGAGCTAATTCAATGATTTTATCTGCTTAATAGCTGTAATGTTGTAGTTGGCCATGGCTGAGCAAAATATATCACAACTGTTTTATATGCTGCCAATTTACAGTATAACAATCCATCCTATTTTATACACCCATCCCATTTTAAACTCTGAATCTGCAATTAGTAACTGTAGTTGTCATATAACTGAGTGGAAGTGGAGAGGAAATATGAATTCACATGTCCTTGAGCAGCTGTGTGAGGAAGAGGGCACACAAACATCAATGCAGTTGCTTCAACCTGTTGTAACCTTTTCTGTCCAGAAGGGGGGGGTGCTGCACAGTGTAATTAAAATAAAAATCAGCCAAACATTCAGCATTCTGAAAACAGACACCACAGAATGAGTGCCAAAATTTAAATGTAGAAGGGATGATTTGAATTTGAATATCTGGATGACATTTTATAGCTTAATTCTTTGTTGAGCACAATAAACTCAGGATGAACTGTCTGCCTTGTTATCGTGTAATGCCATTACTCAGCTTGGCAGCGGTGCAGTTTGCATGGAGGATGTGAGATATCCGGAGAGAAAGCTGTGGCCGCTCTGGCTGGCATAGTTTATTTATTTTGCCTCTATTTCTGTTAAATGGGAAATCACAGTGGCTCGTGTGTTCCTTAACCAACTTGGCCTGACAACCGCATTCAGTGAGTAACATTTTTGGAACAGATATGCTCTATTTATAACATTCAATGATTTTAATTGTTGGCAGTTGTTGCATTCTATCATTTTCTAGCAGAGCCTCTGGGTGGCCAAGTTAATTTTACATCTGAAGAGTCTAATTTGAGACTCCAATTACTAGAATTGTTGTTGGCTGGAATATCCTCTTTATATTTGTATTTGTAGACATTTAGCTGATACTCATCCAGAGGAATTAACAGTAAGTAAACAGTTAAACAAGCTTAAATCCCAAGATCACCAACATTACAAGCAACCAATATCTAGTTGTGCTTGTTAGAAAAGTTTCCCCCATCCATAATTTTTTTTTCTATCACTGATGTGAAACAATCTGCCTGTTGATGTGTGTTTGACAGACAGTAATCAGTGTATTAACATGCAGGGTGCAGTGCAGCAATAATATTATAGGGCTCAAGCTGCAGATTGAATGGTATAACAAACCAATTTCTTCAGTTTCCAGCTTTGAGGTCAAGTTGCAATATTTAGAAAGGATGAAAAGAAAAGTGTTTGCTTTCTTGCCAAGAGTTAGATGAGAAGATCAGTCACACTCTCTTGTCTGTATAGTAAATATCAAGTTGCTGCCAGCAGCTGCTTAGCTTAGGCCCCACGATGATCCACCCCACACATTAGAACAGCACAGAACACACACACACACCATACGACCATACGACCACAAGTTGACGTTTTTACGTAGTTAGTGAGCTTTAGGGGTGCTTTGTACAATGTTAAGCTATCTGTTTCCCCCTGTTTCCAGTCTTTATGCTAAGCTAAACTAACTAGCTAATGGTTGTTGGTATGAGAGTGATAACAATCTTCTCTCTCAAACTCTCAGCAAGAAGGAAAACCATGTTAACCAAGGACCATTTTTCTGTTTCAGTTTCTCAAAATTGCATGAGAGCGGTATGGAGACTCATCTAACTCTTAGCAAGATAGTAACAAAAAAATGCTGAACTATTCCTTTAAGCTGGCTGTGGCTTTAATGTAAGTCTAACAGTTGTGAGGAGTCCAACCAAAGAGTTATTATTTTCCTTGTTTTGGTGAAATAATTTTTTAAATGGTTAGAAATATCTAAAGTTATCCAATAATTCTAAAGGGGAAAAAAGCAAAGATCAGAGATAATTCTGCAAAAAGTAACATCATTTTGTGTCATGTTTTTTCCACTTTCATTTTGTTGTGACCCGGCCCTCGGGTTGGGAGCCACTGCTTTAAGGAATACTGTATATTGAAATGCAATCCAATACAACAGCCCTGCAATAAACAGTCTGTTAATGAATCTCCTAAGTCAGTTTTCTGAAGCATCAGTAAAGATTTGAATAATCTGTATAGTTTTTTATTGAGGCTGTAACTTGTGGTTATTGTATTGTATTCCATAATGCACTATAGGTGTTGGTTTCATTTTACTATGTATACTGAGCACAAAACTGTACTTTGGGATGAATTATCTATCTTATCTTATCCTATCTTATCTTATCTTATATGCCTAACCTATTTCAGCAGTAAGAAATACTGCAATGTATCTGCTACTCTTGTGAAATTAATGTGAAGCTGCTGCTAACAGAATTTAGTATGACAAATACATACTGTAAGTGACTCTGACTTTCCAGGTCCTTTTTCTTTTTCTCAATAGTGGAATAAACACAAAGTAAACTCATGCCAAATATTTAATAGCCTTCACCGGTGCTGCAAATTTACATGTGGACTGTGGAACAAGCCTGAAAGCTTTTCAAATGGATTGGTCCAAGTGTTTGTTTAGTTTTATTTTTGCTGTGTCTCATTCATTTGTCGATTGGGCTCCCATCACCGTGAAGCCGGTTAAATTGGTTGTATTTGCATAAGGGCTCTTCTGTTTATTTTCTCCTGATCATTCTTTATTGTTTGGAGCACCTGCCCTTTACACATAATGATGCTGTTTGTTTTGAATATCGGAGCAGCCTGACCGTCAGTCACCTCTGCATACATGGAGAAACGGAGGGTGTTGTGGTTATTTACCAAAATTTTATGATTGACAGTGAGTGGCGGTCTTTTAGCGATGCACAGTGCAAAAATATCTACACAGTCAGTAGAACATATAATCTGTTTTAATGGTGAAAGGTGAAAAGTATTCAATTTTAGCCACAGTGTTGTCTCAGGGCTCTGCTTGCAATATACAAATGGACCAGCAGATGGCACTGTGTAGCCATAAAATAACCCAGCTCCTCAACAAGTTGTGTCATCGCTGAGCAAGCTTCTACTTTTTTTTACTTTTAAATTCACTTTAGGAATGGTTAGTACACTGGAAGCATACTGGCATGTTTAATTGCTGTGTTGGGGAGGGAGTCAGCCTTTCTATGGCCCTGTTCCATCAGCTTAATGGTGTGTTTGCTATTGCGTTCCCTCTCATTTACATGGCCCATATACCGCCTCTAATGTATGGCTAATTGTTGTGTTTAGGCAATAAAAACCCTGAACCATTGCATCGATGTTCCTCAAAAGTAAATGTTCTGATTTCCAGCAACAGCGAATATGCTCTGAAAATATTTTGTTACACAACAAGAAATGTTTTGATTATGAATCTGGTGGAGACGGGTCACTTGAGAGCCGCATACACACAGCAGTTTGCTATTTGTCTTGTCTATAAAAGGAACAGACAAATATAACTGCAGCAAGGCAATAATGCTGAGCTTATTGTTCCGCTGGTACTATTTGCACTGATGGCTGATCTGAGATGTATTCTATTTATGTTGAGGAGAGGGACAAGGGATGTCACGTGCCAGTTTAGATGCAGTACTTTCCAAAAGAAATACGCATGCGATGAGGTAAAGTTGTGCACATGAAGCAGTGGCAGTGTTTGAAGTCAGTGGTGGAAAGTAACTGAGTGCATTTGCTTAAGTGCTGTACTTGAGTACAATTTTGAGGTACTTATACTTTACTTGTGAATTTCAACTTAATGCTACTTTAAATGTTTACTCCATTACATTTCTCAGAAAAATATTTTTACATTTTTACTCCAATACATT